CTTACAAAAATACAAACACAATCCAAACATAAATGACAAAAGCGTTTGAGAAATTGAAAGGCAAGCGAGAGACAGAGAGCGAGAGAATGAAAAAAAAAAAATTATATTTCAATAGAGTACTATTCGGTACGGTACGGTATTGACCGGTATCAAAATCTTGATATCGCTACCATACCATACTCAATTGGTACGGTACGGTACGGTACCGAATATCTATCGGTACCAAATGAAACGGTATGAAATCGGTACGGTACGGTGCGGTTAGGGTACGATTTTGGTATTTCGGTTTAAGATGCCCACCCCTAGTTTCCACTGCATCACAAAATCGCACCGAGCTCTCCAAAATAGTGGACTTCCCCATCCGGGCAATCTCATCCACCTGATCCGCAGATGACCCATACGCCAACATTCGTATCACAACTGTGAACTTTTGCTCGGGAAGAAGCCCCAAATTTCCAGCACAATTTTTCTTTTGAACAAAGTATTCATCATAATTACAAATATCATGCATTACTTTATTGAACAAATGGGGTTGCATTCTATATCTCGCTCAAAAATGAACATCAGAATACAGAGAATGTAGGATAAAATAATCTTCCATAAGATTCTTACCCCGAGAATGTCTAAGTTTGTCCACATTCGGAGCACGGCTTTCTCATGAACCACGACGGCTCTGGTTTTCTTCCTCTAGCAAAGCAACGGCCATGCCAAGTTGCTCATCTAGTTCTCTCTGCGCCCTTTTGCTTGCAGCTCGTCGATGCATTCTTTCTCTCCTCTCTCGCTCTTGCCTCTCCAAAACCTCTTGCATGTCTGCCATTGAAAATGGAGAATGAAATCTAAAATATGATAAATGAAATCTAAAATATGAGAAATGAAGATGTAGAGAAGATATGGTGTGGGAGGTATGAGCTGAGCCTCTGGTTTTATAGAAAAATTTAGGCAGATAGAGATGACACGTGGCGCAATTTTAGAGGGTGAAAATCTTATCTGAAATTTGGAAATTGAAATTTATCTGAAATTTGAATTTTGAAATGTATATGAAATTTGACATTTTGAATTTATCTGAAATTTGAATTTTGAAATGTATCTGAAATTTTAAATTTATCTGAAATTTGAAACCGAAAATCTTATCTGATATGAATAGTATTGACACGTAGGAACCCAAAAATCTTATCCGAAAATATTATCCAAATTAATTGTTTAAGTAAACAAAGTTGTGAAAAAAAACAAAAAAATGAATAGTATTTGCCATGGCAAGCCTAAACTGCTGGAAACACACTTTGCTGAAGGGGCTAGGGCAGCCACTATTCACGTAAATAGTAACTGCCTAGGACTCTCCTTGCCATGGCAAGGGGCTAACTGATGGAAATACTCTTATTAGTCTATATGTAGCGAAATTCTATAGTGAGGGCGTCGTATATGGACTCTTCATGTATAAAATTATATTAGTCACAAGATCATTTCATTAAACTTAAGTGAAATTACTATTCAAATGAATCTTATGTCTAATATAAAGGGTCACATCTATGATCCATATATGGCACCCTCACCATAGAACAACTCTTTGTATGTAAGTTATACATTGAGTTGACAATTGCTTACCCCGTGAATTAAAGCCTATGTCATAAATAACAATTTTCAGAGAGCAAAGTTGGTCCGTCTTTATCGACTAATCATGCTTAAAGAACAAGGGCGATGGTCTGAGAATCCGATCGATGACTTTTTCTGGTGATGTAATATTTTATTCGTTACAATACAACACATGCACAACATAAAGGGACCAGCACGAGCGCTCCTCACAGCAGCCACATAGCTATTAGCAAGCAAGCAATCTCCACTCATTTCACTTCACAAACAATTCACGTCGCTTTTAATCCGCATCGTTCCAGGCATTCATGGATACGATAAGTCTTCAGCAAGAGCTCTAGCTACATGAGCCACACCATCAAGTCACTGATATCGAGTTATGGGGCAAATCCTACAGTGTACGAGCTGGATGAACTTCTAAATGTGCAGGCTATTGAAAGGGCACTGGTTCAGCACCTCCAATGCTGTTTTCATAAGGAAGCAGTTTATTTCCTTATCAATGTCTCCACAGTTTATCATCTTCAGTGAAAGATAGGAGATATGTATACTTGCCAAATGAGTCATAATTATTGAGACCAAAAGAAATTAAGCACTTCCTTCTTCATATCACAACATAAAAAACAAAACTGTGAAAGGAATACATGAACTGCACATTTGTAACAGGTTCTCACTTCCCGCATAGAGCAAGAGAATTTATGTATTCAACAAAGTTCGATTGCTCCATTACCCATGAATGTTAGCTTTGAGCAGATCCTTCACTTATGAATATAATCTTTCAAGAGTGGATTCCTCTGCTCTAGGATTGCATTCTGCCGCCAAGTTTCCACAGCCCTCTGAACTGTAGCATTTGCCTTGCGTATCTCCTCAGCAGAGAACTTGTGCTCTATGATTCCTAAAGGTCCAGGCTGCAGTACCTTTACCACAGTTTCCATCTCTTGCTCCAGCTGCCTATGCAACAAGAAATAGGAAACAATCCCAATTGAATGCAAAAAATAACAAAGAAAATAACTTGCAAAAGTATATAGGAACATCAAGTATGCAACTGAAAACAAAGCAGAAACATGACTCTATTGTCTGTGATGCATAATTTTTAGGGCCATCAAAACTAGCTTCTAGCAATCATTTGAAACACGGACATCAGATAGATACATAAATTCAACCCATACAACTACACATGATGAACTCAGTTTCGATCGACGAAACATGATGCCAAAGCAATACACCCCAAAATGGTAAGCTCTTTCTTTTCCCATTCACATAAAAACCCAGCTAGCAACTCTTACTCTTATCAAGCAACTTAGATGCAATGAATAAGGCATACAAGAACTATCCATTGTATAACAGAAAATGAATCTTATCAAATAACTATGGCCAATGCCCATCTGGGTCTTCTCAGAATAGCATTAGATCATATATCCTAATAAGCCTGTGATTTACAGAAACCGAACCCAGACAGACAGAATTAAATTCAAAAGCTTTGTAGCATTTCCAATTTGAACTAAAAAGAAAGGAAACAAATTCGGGTTAATTATAGAGAAAGCTCACTAAATCAAACCCAGTAGGTTCTTGAATCACTTTCTATTTATCAACAATTTACTCGGCATCAATTGAAAACCCTAAAACTGAAAGGAAGGAACCCTAAAACTTATTATGAGGAGGTACCTGAAGAGCCTGGAAAAGGGCAATGACCTGCTCATCTCTTTCTCTCTCGCTCTCTCCCACCTCAAAGACTCGCCGTTTCTGTTGTACGACGGTTGCAAGCAGGGAGACCCTTTTCATCAAGATACTAAAAACGACGTCATTCCGAAGCTTCTTCAAAACGCGCGAAGTAGCAAATTAGCAAATTAATAAAAATAAAAAAAAAGAGGAAATTAACGACTCTGCTGGGGATCGAACCCAGAATCTCTGGTTCCGTAGACCAGCGCCTTATCCATTGGGCCACAGAGTCCACTTGTTAGGGTTGCTTTCCACTCCTTATTTAGATTAATATGAAAGAGTTAAATACCATTTTGGTCCCTCTATATTGCTTGAATTTATATTTTGGCGCGTGTGTTTCATTCCGTTAATAATCTCGGTCCTTTTGCCTAATTTGACATTAGTCTGCTTGGCCAAATTAAAACCTATCCCATAAAAAGAAGATTGACATTGACATTGACAAACCAAATGACATTAATCTGCTTGGTTTGGTTAGTATCTGAAAGGGAATGTACTTGGATCCCAAACTCATATCACTAATCTTGAACTTGGTCTCAGTCAAAAAGAAGGGTTCATAATATGACATTGACATTGACATTGACAAACCAAACCCAAGATTACCACATATAGATATAGTTGTCCGACATCAAACATGACATAATCTTATCGTTTTGTCTCAAACAAACACATAAGCATTCATATGATTATTGATCAAAAAAGTGGAGGAGGGATTTGATCTCAAGAACACAAGTTATATAACAAATAAATAGAATCTCTCTTAAGTACGTACACTCAAAAACTGTCAAACTGAGATTAGAAGCCACCACACTAGTTTTATGAATTGTAAATTTAAAATTATACTAATACAATACAGAAATAATACTATACACTCTTGTACTTGTATATATTCACACTCCTAGACAGTCATGAAACGGAATGACGCCTTCGCTTCTGAAATGGAAATCTGGACTCTGAGCTTGCCTTGCCCCCTAGGGGCTTAATGCTATTGATCTTGAACAACGCATTGAGCTTTCCCAACTTTTTGGTGAATGATTTGAATAGCTTGTTTGCAGGATGAGACTTTACAAGCTCCTGTTTCATAGACACATGATCTTTTTCCAAGTCTGTTAGCCTCATTCTCATTCTTGCAACTTCAAGCTTCAGCTCTCTGTTCTCTCTCCTGACTGATGCATAGTTGTCTCTTGGGGAGATGGCTCCACTGCCAGCACCACTGCTTGATCTTTGAGGGAATTGGGTTCCATTTATTGCCCCAAAGAAGAACTGATTGTGGCCACCATTCATTGCATTCCTCAGCCTGATTTGCTCAAAGTAGAGTACCTGCACTGCCATCTGTACTGGTAGCCTTTCATTCTGTGCTGCATGACTGCAGGCTTCTTGGGAGAGTTTCTGGCAGTCAATGGTTTTGCACAGCCGGTACCGTTCAGAGTCCTTGATGTTTGGATGAACCTATAAACAGATGCAAATGCACATTGGTACTCAACATCTTGGAAAGAAACAATGAAAATGCAGAACATAGACAAAGTGTAAATCAAAGTTGAGTTGCTTAGGACTTAAACACATGGACAGAGAGAGACTCTCACTTTGAGGAAAATATCCACAGCCCTGTAGAGTCCATCACTCACTATCCGAGCGTGGTCTGGAAGTAGTTCTGCTAGTGCTATGAACCTTGATGGCATCAAGTTTGAGTCCAGTGCAACTTCTGCAAGATAATTGTCCAGTAACTTTGACACCTTCAGGATTGAGCTTTGCTTTGGAGATCCAGGGCTGTCAAAGTCATAAACCATCTCACTTTCATCCCTCAAGTGATTATCTTCTTCATCATCCTCATCCAAGTTCAAAAATATTGAAAAGATCCTCAATATAGCATCTGTGTCATAGATTGTGCTGTGGTTGTTCCCATGTGAATTTGCAGGAATTAAGATGTCTTCAAGAATTGCCTGATCCAGTTGCAAACCAATCCGCCTCTCTAAATCAGATCTGCAAGAAGTGGATGCTGATGCTGCAATTGCAGTTTTTAACAAACTCGAAAGAAATGCCATTGGAACTGGACTCTTCCTTGATTGTGTTGGGAGCAAACTAACTATAGCTTCAACAATGACCCTTTGTTTCTTTTGCAATTCTAGATCCAAGAGACTTCCTTTTACCAATTGGGCATCCCTGACAACAAGACCTTGAAGAGAATTATGGGCATAATTGATCAAAATTTTGCTTATCATATCCTGTTTAAGACCCTTGGTTTTCACTGCAGATAGAACCCGTTGGAAGAAGTCAAGACTAAGCACTGTAAGCGCTTTCCCCCACCAATCTGAAGGTGTTTCAGGTTCCATAATTGGAGCTGCTTTTGTAGGAAAGTTGTGGTCAAGTTTCAATAAGCCAGAGGTGAGCTGCTCTTTGCATGCATTATTTGCAATTGCATTGATAAGCCTGCTAACCAGGTTGGTTTCTTCTGCTGTTGGCAAGAGGGTCTCACAACGATGAAGAACTGATATTGATTTTGATATGTTTGGGAACACCATCTCCTTCAGATAAGCTTCAGTTCTGGTTTCCAGGTTTTTCTCAGCATACTCTTCTGTCATTTCCAGGAAATGGGATACAGAACGGAGCATGGCAACATTTGATTGTGTAATGTCAACATTAATTCCATAGCAGAATTTTGCAGCTAGCTCAAATGCCTCCGGTCCCCCGGGAACAGAAGATAGAATTATGCGTGATACTTTCGAATCTTTTGCTTCAAGCAACAGTTTCCGAATCCTTCCACTCCGAGAAACTAGAGGGAACTGCAACATAGTCACCATCACATTACTGATTCTCTTTCTTTTCTTATTAATGTCCAGATCATTATTAATACTATTTCATAATTCAATAGACTGTTCATTTAGTTGTCACATGATATTGATATATAACAAGCTAGAAGTTGATTGAATAATAGCGTTACT